CTCTGCCAAGGCAATTAATTCCGCTTTTTGGGCTGATGTTCCGGGTGGGAGGGCGCTGCTCCATACCGTATTTCCTTCTTGGTCGACTACAGCTGCCCCTGCCCTTCGGGCTCCATCTTGGAAAAAACTGCTTCCATCCGTGTACCAGTTTAATTTGCAGCCGGACAGGGGGGTATCCTTTAGGTCAGCCCGTACCTGTGTAACTTCGGAGAGGAATTCTTTGCAGTTATGGACAGGTGTCTGCAGTTCCGGGTTAGGCAACAAGGTGGCAGGGTTCAGGATTACGGGATCTGTGAATGTGATCCGAGGGGAATCCAACAAGAGCCCCTGGTAGTGGGTGAGCCTGGCATTCGTCATCCATTTCCCAGGGGGTTGTTTAAGGATTCCCTCCACCGGGTGAGGGGCCGTTACCCAGAGGGCCTGTCCAAAGGTTAGTTTATCGGCTTCTCTCACCAGCACGGCAATGGCCGCTATGATGCGGAGGCAGGGGGCCATCCTGCCGCTACTGCGTCTAATTTCTTGGAAAAGTATGCCACTGGTCTCTTCCAGGGACCTAGCTGTTGGGTCAAGACTCCTTTGGCTACCCCCTTTTTCTCATCTACAAACAGAGTGAATGGTCTTGTAGGATCTGGCAAGGCTAAGGCAGGGGCCTGCAAAAGAGCGTCTTTTAGCTGATCAAAGGCCTGTTGTTCTCTCTCTCCCCAACTCCAATCTGGAGCTTCTTTGGTGGCCTCATATAGGGGTCTGGCTATTTCCGCAAATCCTGGAATCCAGAGTCTACAGAACCCCGCGGAGCCCAGGAATTCTCTCACCCCCCTAGTGGATGTCGGGGATGGGATAGCCAGAATAGTCTGTTTCATGGCATCAGTCAGCCATCTTGCCCCATCTGCAATCCGATAACCCAAATATGTCACTGACCTTTTACAGATGTGAGTTTTCTTGGCACTTGCCCGATACCCCAGCTCACCTAATTCCGTTAGCAGGTGTTCAGTAGCCTTGATGCACTCCTCTCGGTTTCTGCCGCTAACAGTAAGTCATCAACATACTGTAATAGAGTGACTCGTGGGTGGCTCCGACGAAAAGGTTCCAGGTCCTGGCTCAGGGCCTCATTAAACAGGGTGGGAGAGTTTTTAAATCCTTGCGGCAGTCTGGTCCAAGTGAGCTGTCCGGATTGGCCCCCATCTTCTTGCCATTCGAAAGCAAATAGCGGCTGACTAATTTCTGACAATGGAATGCTGAAGAAAGCATCTTTCAAATCAAGGGTTGTATACCATACTTGCGAGGGGGTAGGTGGCTGAGCAAGGTATAGGGATTCGGAACGGTGGGATGAATGTCCTCCGTCCGCTCGTTTACCTTTCGTAGGTCTTGCACAGGCCTATAGTCCCCGCTTCCGGCTTTCGGACGGGGAGCAGAGGAGTATTCCAGGCAGACTGACAAGGCCGCAGTACTCCTTCCTTTATTAGCCTGTGGATATGAGGGGCTATGCCTCTTCGGGCCTCCTCAGGCATAGGATACTGTTTCACCCGAATGGGGAGAGCAGAAGCCTTCAATTGTATAACTACGGGCGGGAGGTGTTTGGCGAGGCCGGTTCCCGCAGTCTCTGCCCAGGCCGTGGGAAATCTTTTTACCCAATGAGTCATGTCCCCTCCTGGTTCCTGTTGACTCTCAAACAGACGATGCTCGTCAGCCAATGATAGGGACAAGACATGAATCGGGCTCCCTTCTCGATCAGTCACAATTATTCCATCTGGTTCAAAATGGATATGGGCCCCTATTTTGGTGAGTAGGTCCCGTCCGAGCAGGGGAGGGGCTCTCAGGGACGACCAAGAAGGAGTGTGTGACCTGGTGTTTTCCTAAGTTCACCTTTTTTTGGTAGTCCATGTACATAACTGCGTACCGGTGGCCCCCTGAACAACACTTGTTCGTGCCTTGTTCAAAGGTCCATGTGCCTTGTTTAAAACCGAATATTGGGCGCCGGTATCCACCATGAACCCCATCGGCTTCCCCTCCACATGCATTGTTACCCAGGACTCGGGGGGGGGTCTGAGCCCCGTCTCCTTCAGTCCTCTTCTCCGGCTAGGAGGACTCTGGCCTGCTCTACTGCTCGTTCCCTTTCCCTGTTTTCCCCCGGTCTCCTTCCAAACCCTCTTCTTCCCTTTAACTTAGGACATTCTCTCTTCCAATGCCCGTTTCCTTACAGTAAAAACAGTGTTCCTTATCCGGGGTCCTGGCGTGGCCCCCTCCCCTGGGTTGGTCCCGGACACCCGCTAGGAAAATACGGCCATTTCTCTCTGTTGCTTTCGGTTTTCCTTAGCCTGGAACTCCCGGTCCTCCTTTCTCAATTTCTCCTGGGCCTCCCTGTCTTCCTTTCTCTGTCTTTCCTCCCTTTCTTCTGGAGTTTCCCTAGCGGTAAAGACCTTTTCCGCTACCTGTAGCATTTCCCTTATAGTCATCTCCCCTAAGTTTTCCTGTTTATTGAGTTTTCTCCTAATGTCTGGAGCTGCCTGATTAATGAATGAGAGTACCACAGCAGACCGGTGGAGGTCCGCCTCAGGGTCAATAGGGGTGTACTGACGGTATGCCTCATAGAGGCGCTCTAAGAAACCGGCCGGGCTTTCGTTTTCCCTTTGAACGACTGCTTTACTTTTGCAAAATTGGTGGGCCTTCTAGCGGCCGCTCGGAGACCGGCCATAAGAGTCTGGCGGTAGATCCGAAGACGCTCCCTACCTTCTGCGGTCCCGAAATCCCAATCAGGGCGGCGTAGGGGAAAAGCCTCGTCTATGGCCGGTTGGAGAGTTGTGGGTCTCCCATTATCCCCAAGACGTTCTTCCTCGCTTCGTTGAGGATGCGCTCTCGTTCCTCCGTCGTAAAAAGAGTATTGAGCAGCTGATGACAGTCATCCCAAGTGGGACGGTGTGTATGCATGATGGACTCCAAGAGATCTATGAGACACTTGGGGTCTTCAGAAAAGGGCGGGTTCTGCGTCCTCCAGTTATATAGATCACTGGAGGAGAAGGGCCAGTACTGAAACTGTTGCCCTCCTCCCGGTCCCCCTTGGCCCACCATCCGGACTGGAAGTGTAGGGACAGTTTCCTCCCCCTGTGTTGATGAGGAGGGCCCGTCTTCCCCCTCCCTTTCCCGGATCCCTCGGGGGCGAAGTCTTCGACCCATTCCTCCTCCTGCTGCCAGTCCTGTTGAGGAGGATGAGGAAATTTCCTCCTCCGGGGCACTGGCTTGGCCAGGGGGAGTCATATATGGAGGCGGCCGATCTTCCTCTGCCCCTGCGAGGGATGGGTAAAGGGGGGAACTCTCTGGTAAGACCGGAGATGGTGAAGGAGATGCCCTAATTTGAGGACGGTCAAGGTGGGAAGAGGAAGTTTTTCCTCCTCCTTTATGACCAAGGCGGGCGTGACTGGGGTTTTAGCCCCGGGGGCCGAACTGGAGGGGTGGGTCAGAAAAACTGTTAACCAAGGGGGAGGGTTCCTCACCAGATCCTCCCAAACCAAAATGTAAGGAACTTGGTCTGGATGGCCTCGATTGTCTGGCTGAAAAATGACTGCTTTAACCTTAGTGATCAGGTCTAGGGAGAGGGAACCTTGAATGGGCCACCCGACTCCAAAGGTGGGCCACTCTGCAGAACAAAAGGTGTCGAACTTACCTTTCTTGATGACCAGACCCGCATTTAAGGCCCTTTCTTTAACTTCTGAAAGTGAGAAAGGATCAGAAGACTTTGGGGTTGTTGTCCCTGTCCCATTGTGGAAGGAGACTCAAACACCAGAGAGAGAGAACAAAAAGGGTAAAGGCAACAATAATTCCACACACACAAACACTCTCCAGCACTCGCTCGGACCGGTCCTTCTCTCACACTGGTGCGCACCCCATTCAACCTCCTCACCGTCCAACTGGGATATCAGGCCGAAAGGCGTCCACTTGACGGGTGGTCGGTCGACTAGCTCAATTAGTTCTTCACCTGGCGCCAGGGTTCCTAAAATGCTCGAGCCCAAATGAGAGGAAAGCCTCTCCCAATAGGACCCTGTGGTCCTCTTTGCGAGATTCCCAGAATGAATCTCCCTGGGGATTGGCCGAATCCCCGCCGCGGCCCAAATGGAACACTCAAGTTCCTCCAAATGAGGGTCTGGGATCCCCTCCCAACGCCTAGGACTTGGGATCGCCCCTGCTTTCTCGCAGGCAGGTTCTGTCTCTCGAGAAAATGAAATCTCGGTGGGACCTCCAAATGTTAGGACCCGGAATCCTATTCCCCCGAGAGACAGAGAACCAGGAGTTTATTGGGCTGGCTAGCCAGGGTCGAGCTCCCACACGGACACGCAGGACCGGTTAGGAAAAACACGACCCTGAGCCTCTTTAGGGGAAATCTTATATAGACCACGGTGGCGTGCATATTTTCGTTATCAACATTGGGCAAGCAGGCAGAGCACATCTTGCGCGTACCTCACATCTTGCATGTACCTCCCGCTCACATTCCCCACATTCTATATGCCCTAACCGAGCCCTGCCGCATTGCTTATCTTATCTACACGGGGTGTTTGGTACTGGTTTCTCCAACAAGGGGGTTGGGGCCCGCTGAGACCCCCTATTCCTTTCAATTATGACCTAGGAATTAGAATATATAGTCTGATAAAGGATTATGGATGGATTTCCAAGAGTCAAAGGAGTTTTGGCAGGTACAATTTGGTTGAAGACACATATTTTGATAATTTGCAGTAGATAATATGACAGAATAAGTAAAATAAGACAGCCATTACTTAATGAGTATTTCATGAAGTGCCAAGTGTGGTGCTATGTTCTTATACATATTACCTCATTAACCCTCACAACAATTCAGTGAGGTAGAAATTATCACCCTTGTTTATAGTTTCATCTCAAGGTGGTGGTAGTAGACTCAGAATTCAAACTCAGATCTATTTGACTTAGAAATCAGTGCTGTGAACTATTACACTCACAAAGATCCAAGACACAGGGGCTCTCAAAAATTTATTGGTTTATGGTTCTGGAGTCGAAGGTTGAAGGGCTGCATCTGGTGACTTCTTGCTGCATCACAAAATGGTGGAAGGTATCACATGGATAAAAAAAGAGAGAGAAACAAATTCATCCTTTACCAGGAATCTACTCCCAAAATAACCAAACCACTTCCTTAACAATAGCATTAATCCATGCTGAGGGTGGAGCCCTCATGAGCTAATTACCTTTTCAATGTCACACCTCTCAATATTGTGGCTTTGAGGATTAAGTTTTCCACACATGAACTTTGGGGGATACATTCAAATGTACCAAGATGTATCATGAAATTAAAAGTATTACATGGAGGATAAATGCTAGCTCCAGATCTGTAGGTTTTTTTTTTTTTTTTTTTTTTTTTTTACCAACCTTAGGGGGATCTACCTGATGGTCAAGAAGAGCGGCATTTCAATCAGTGGGGATTTTAGACTTGTCCCTTCAAAGTCCTCACTCCTGGGTATGAAGAAGGAAAAAAACATGTTGGTATTTTCCTGGCAGCAGACATATGTTTAAGGAAAATATGATAGAAAGACGAGGAGTGGTTGCTTTCAAAGCCTGACTCTACTGTATTCAGCCTGCATCCAGCACTTTGGAACCACTAGCACTAGCAATGCTCTTACTCCCCTGCCTCAGGGCAGGGAGTGGAGGGATACCTTTTGGAGCCTGCACAGTTCAGCTATGTACATACCAAAGGGCTCAGTTCTGTTTCTGCTGCTTCCTGCCAACAGTACCCCTACTGGGGAGAGACAGGGTGTTGGGGGAAGGGGCCCAACTCACTTGAGAAAGTACAAGCCTGACAGCTGAAGGGTCCCAGAACAGCAAATATCACCTTGCCTCCTTTCTTGGACTATTCCAGCAATCTACTTTTGATTGACAGAGGCATCTGGCTGCTAAAAATACCCTACTGACCAAGTGCTCCCTATTCCAACTCCAGCTGAAGAGGCTGCAGTCCAGAATGTAGCACATGCAGATAGTTTCTCCTTGCAAAGAAACTTTTCAAAATTTGTCAGAACTCCCCATCCCCATCCCAGGACTACACTAGCACACGGTCATTTTTCTGCCCCATCAGCTTTGCTGAGTGATGAATGAAAGCTTTGCCAGGTCACTTTTCTCTTGGCTGTCCCAGGATGAGTGGCAGAGGGGGAGGTGAGGGCCCAGCGGCTGAGAGGGGTTAGGGAAGGGGAAGTGGCCTGTCCATTTATAGTCCTGCTCTTTGGGATGCTGAAGGTGCTAAGTAGCAGCAACAACAAGAGGCTTGGCTCAGTGTGAGACGTCCACTGTGCTGGCCTGACAGGCTCTGAGATGACAATTGGAGGCATGGAGAATGTGGAGGTCTTCACTTCTGAGGGCAAAGGCAGGGGTCTGAAGGCCACAAAGGAGTTCTGGGCTGCCGATGTCATCTTTGCTGAGCGGGCTTATTCTGCAGTGGTTTTTGACAGGTAGGAAACTGGGGAGTTGCCTTTTCTCCCTTGTTGGTTTGACTGGTGCCAAACTCTCAAATACTTGCTCTCAAAATCCCCAGGGGAAGGGATAAAGTCATAGGATTTTTAACAGAGTGGCATTTCTGATGACTGTTTGCCGGCATAATTTTTTTCTGCAAGGAGTCATTTCCAATGATATGCTATGGTCACTAGAAGGGTTAAAAAGGTGAATAAGGACTTTGGGGCATTTTCTCTTGATGCTGGTGAGAGGGTGGCTAGAGGGTTGGAAGGTGGGTATGGTGCTGGGAAATGTTTTCTTACAGAGAACTCTTTTTAGCTTCTTTTGACATATAGAAGAAGCTAAAGTCTGGCAGAGTGGATCAAGTGGTAGAGAGCCTGCCTAGCAAGCATGAGGCCCTGAGTTCAAACCCCAGTATCACCAAAAAAAAGAAAAAAAGAAGCTAAAAACCTATGTATTAGGTGATAAAGTAGTTGTTGAGACTTTAAGAAATTTATTGTAGAAATACAGGTAAGACAAGTATCCATTACCTTTCAAAAACTAGAATCTCATCCAATCCTAGTCCCTGCTCCCTAAAATCATCATGTGATGTGCTCTGTATTGTGCATACATTTATCTGCACTTACCAAATTGGCCAACTATAGTTTGTATATTTTTTCTTTTTATAGAAATGGCATACTACTTCAGATATCATTTTAAAACTTGATCTTTTCCCTAAACAACATGTTTTGATGTCTATCCTTATAAGAACAAGTCTATAAATATTTTATTTATTTATCTTTAAATTTTATTTTATTGTTTTTATACTTACTTACATGTGTATACATTATTTGGGCCACATCCCCCCCACCTCTGGCAGAATAGAATAGTTATTTTAAACCCTCAAAGATCTTTCTTTTAACTACATGTTAAGCCATCCATGTTGATCTATAAACCATATAGATCCCAATTTTAACTGCTGTAAATATTCTACCCTATTAATATATGACATTTTACTTATCTATTTGAGAAACATTTGGTGGTTTCCAAGTTAAACAAAATCTAACATTTCTGCAGTCAAAACACTTGCCTGTGTCCACATGTCCACAGGTGTGATTATTCTGTAGGGTATGTGACCAGAAGAGGAATCACTGGGGCATAAGGTGTGCCATTTTCGGTTCTAATAGGTGCTATTAAATTTACATGCCTGTTTCCTTACAACCATGTTTCCACTGGACTACCCAAATTTTAAAATAGTACTGAATCTTTATTTTTAAAACACCTACATAATGATGACATTAAACTAATTATTTTCTGAGCTTTTGGTTGGAGTGACCTGCTTGACATTTATGTGATTTGAATTAAGATGATCTCTGATAATTGAGGCTCTGTGATGGGCTTGCTGTACCAGCTATCCTGGGAGTGAGTGCTACTTTTTCAGAGATAACTTGGTTAGTGTTCAAATTGTCTTTTCTTCCTGCCTGCCAAGACCTTCAAGGGAAAAGGCAGTGAACCAGGGAGTATGATTTACTACCATTCAAGGAATACCAGGCGACTGAGCCACAGTAATATTATTAATATAATAAGCTCATCTTGTTTCTTTAATTTATTTGTATGTGTGCTGGGGTGGGCTGAGGGTAGGCAAGGAGTCAGTTGGGGCCAGAATCAAAACACAAAAAGTCAGAAACACATGGATGGCAGACACTGATCTTGGTTTTGTCATTTAGTTGTCATCTGACTTTAAAAGAACATCTCCATTTGGTGCCTAAGATTCTCTAAAGCCAGTCTAGCTAGTTTCTTTCTCAAGACTGTTTGGAGCTGAGAGGTTTTCCCAGGAAAACATTCTTATTTTAGAAAATTTAGAAAGAAAAAAAATACATCACCACACAAAGATAACCCCTCTTATCATGTTGACTGTTTCCTTCTAGCCTGTTTTAAAGCATAGCTTTCATTTGTACTACAGAGTTGGAATCTTACTATTTAAACTAGTGTGTTCCTTCATTTAATAATTTAGGTATCTGCTGTGCAGTTATATACTTGTCATGGCCACAGTATTTAAGGGCTGCATGTTCACCTACTATTTGCTGATGAGTAGACATTTAGATTGTTTCCATGTTTTTGTTATTATATATAATGTGTCATACATTTAAAGTAACAGCTATAAAAAAAACCTTAATGCACATGGCAGAAAAATATTATATTATTATTACAAGAGTAATACAAATAAGGATGATTGGGGTAAATGATCTTTAAAATGACTTAAAAAGGGTTTGGGGGTGTAGGTCAGTGGAAGAGTGCACGCTTAGCAGGCATGGTGCCTGTGATGCTGAGTTCGATCCCAGCATCTCTCTCTCTCTCTTCTCTCTCTCTCTCTCTCTCTCTCTCTCTCTCTCTCTCTCTCTCTTCTCACACACACCACACACACACACACACACACACACACACACACAAAATTGAAAAAGTTCTAAAGGAGAGTTTTAAAAGTACATCATTCAAACTTGTCCTGCACACATGTGGGGGCTGTTCTTTTTGGGGGGCACACTATACCTGCGAACCCAGAGAGGCATCAAAGGAAAATTTACCTATTGTAGGCTCCTGCTGAGGCTCAGCCACTATAGATGAGAAACTTGACTGGGGAAGGTAGGACTGAGTCACCCACAAAAGTCATTATATAAAAGAGGTGCATTCTATTTTTTTTCCTTTTTCTTTTATTATTCATATGTGCATACAAGGCTTGGTTCATTTCTCCCCCCTGCCCCCACCCCCTCCCTTACCACCCACTCCACCCCCGCCCTCTCCCCCCCTCCCCAATACCCAGCAGAAACTATTTTGCCCTTATTTCTAATTTTGTTGTAGAGAGAGTATAAGCAATAACAGGAAGGGACAAGGGTTTTTGCTGGTTGAGATAAGGATAGCTATACAGGGCATTGACTCACATTGATTTCCTGTGTGTGGGTGTTACCTTCTAGGTTAATTCTTCTTCTTTTTTTTTTTTATGGGTTTAACTCATTTAATAATAACAAATCTATGTGACCTGTCATTTTACAGATGAGATTAAAGAAATTTTGAGACTTTTCCAAAATTGTTATTCATCATTGTTGAGAAATTTTTTTTTTTCATTTTTCTTATTATTCATATGTGCATACAAGGCTTGGTTCATTTCTCCCCCCTTCCCCACCCCCTCCCTTACCACCCACTCCACTCCCTCCCGCTCCCCCCTCAATACCCAGCAGAACTATTTTGCCCTTATCTCTAATTTTGTTGTGAGAGAGTATAAGCAATAATAGGAAGGAACAAGGGGTTTTGCTGGTTGAGATAAGGATAGCTATACAGGGCATTGACTCACATTGATTTCCTGTGCGGGGTGTTTACCTTCTAGGTTAATCTTTCTTGATCTAACCTTTTTCTCTAGTCCTGTTTCCCTTTTCCTATTGGCCTCAGTTGCTTTAAGGTATCTGCTTTAGTTTCTCTGCATTAAGGGCAACAAATGCTAGCTAGTTTTTTAGGTGTCTTACCTATTCCTCACCCCTCCTGTGTGCTCGCTTTTATCATGTGCTCAGTCCAAGTCCCCTTGTTGTGTTTGCCCTTGATCTAATGTCCACATATGAGGGAGATACGATTTTTGGTTTTTTGGGCCAGGCTAACCTCACTCAGAATGATGTTCTCCAATTCCATCACTTTACCAGCGATGATAACATTTCGTTCTTCTTCATGGCTGCATAAAATTCCATTGTGTATAGATACCACATTTTCTTAATCCATTCGTCAGTGGTGGGGCATCTTGGCTGTTTCCATAACTTGGCTATTGTGAATAGTGCCGCAATAAACATGGGTGTGCAGGTGCCTCTGGAGTAACCTGTGTCACAGTCTTTTGGGGTATATCCCAAGAGTGGTATTGCTGGATCAAATGGTAGATCGATGTCTAGCTTTTTAAGTGCCTCCAAATTTTTTTCCAGAGTGGTTGTACTAGTTCTACTTCCCACCAACAGTGTAAGAGGGTTTCCTTTTTCCCCGCATCTCGCAACACCTGTTGTTGGTGGGTGTTGCTGAATGATGGCTATTTCTAACAGGGGTGAGGTGGAATCTTAGTGTGGTTTTAATTTGCATTTCCTTTATTGCTAGAGATGGTGAGCATTTTTTCATGTGTTTTTTGGCTATTGAATTTCTTCTTTTGAGAAAGTTCTGTTTAGTTACTTGCCATTTCTTTATTGGTTCATTATTTTGGGAGAATTTAGTTTTTAAGTATTCTGGTTATCAGTCCTTTGTCTGATGTATAGTGGCAAATATTTTCTCCCCACTTGTGGGTGTTAAGAGGTGCATTCTATTCCACATTATTTGGCAAACAGGCTTTTCTGCCCTACTCTTCAACACAAACAAGAGGAGATTTCATTTTTAGTCAACATTGCATGAAATGAAAATTAATTTTTCAAATAATATGTGTAGTATATTGTATCCATTAGCATAATACTTCAATATATAATATAGATAACATAAATCATATAGATAACATATATTCTAATATATAATATATAGTGAAGCATAGCAATAAATGCACACCCATGAAGCCACTATCCAACCTAACTAGAAGATTCCAGTTTACATCTTCTCTTTCCTTCTCTATCCTGTCCATTCAACCCAATTGTAACTGCTATCCTAAAGTTCTGTGATTATACTCTAGTTTCTTTTCAGATTGTATAATCTTTTCACCTTTTATTAAGTTTTGTGTTATATATCCTACTGTCTTTTTTCCTAAGTTTTTTTTAAACACATAGGTACATATTTATAGTCATTTTTATAAACATAGGTACTGTAATATGTATGCCAAATTTTTATTACTGAAGTTTATTTTATTATTCATCCTAATTGTTTTTTGTAAGTACTAATATAAATAAGTTATGTATTTGTGTGTTACATTTATTTATTCTCCTGTGAATGGTTGCTATGAAATTTTGTCTATCTCTTGGAGATCAATCAGATACACAGGTGCATATACTACCTGGAATTGCTGGATCATTATGTA